CACCAAAGACCAGAGACGTCAGCCTATCCTGATATTTAACCCATAGAGATTAGTGTGAAAGCGAATGCAACCAATTCAATTGGAAGCTAAACTCAGCTTGCTCACCCCCATGTTTTGCATTATGTGTTTTGCTTTTTCTAAATTTATAAATTAGCCTCTATTATTATGCATATTGATTTTAAAAAAGACAGTGAGGGATCTTTCCTATTTAAGACAAGGTGAACTGCTTTATGCTGAAATTGCTCTGATTATAGCAATGTAACTAGGAAATTGTTGCCACATATTGATTAGTGAAGAATTTTTCAATAAAAATCAGGTTCAAAATCAAGCTTTTTACCCTGTTGCCGTACTTGTGTAGAGTACGACACTAGATTCTTATTACATTAAATTGACACTGTCTGTACTTTATTAGGAAATATGTTTTTCTCTGACATTTCTTTCTCATAAAAAATATCTTCTCTGTCCTGAATCCCATGTCGACTATAAATTGCATTACATTGGCATAACACCAGAACATATTCAAACACCATATTCAAGAGATGTATTTAACATTATGAGATATGCAGTGTGGTCTAATGGATATTGGCTCGGCATAAGAAGTTGAAGTGTCAAGTTCAATCCAGTTGAATGCATTATATTCACTTATGTGCAAATACCCTTAGGAAAGGTATGAAGCCATCACTTCTCCATCCAGCTATTGGGTCAGGATTGTTACCATGGTAACAGAACTAAAGTATGCAGAGTGAAGCCACTATTGACTGTGAATTCTTTCATGCATGTGCACTAAGTTATAATGTTTCACTCACTTCTGTTGTTTATAGCAATGCTTGGAAGGAAAGTGTGTAGAGTGTGGTCATCTCAGAGGTTCTATCAGTGATCATGGCTTGTGCAGCAGTTTTTGGCTAAGGACAACATTCCCTAAGGCCAACAACTATCATATTCCCCAGATTTCACTTTCTGTTTCTTTTTCTTCAAAAATCAAATCCCACTTGAATGAAACAATATTTCAAGACATTGAGGAAATGCATGAGAACGTGACAAAGTGGCTGCTCACTATCCTAAAAAAGGATTCCCAGGAATGCGTTCATGAATGGAAACAATGCTGGTTAAAGTGTATGGTTGCAGAAGGAGATGACCTCAAAAAAGTTAAAATTCTGAATTGGTATGTGTTGTATTTTCTTTTTATAGCACCTGTCCCAATACTTTTTGATCAGAATATTAATAAGTAGGATGAGAATCCAACAAAACTGTTAAAGTGTAAGAGAAGTTTGAAAATTTTTTACTTTGACATGTTTCACTGAAGTTTACGACACACACACATAGATACATGTGTGTATGTTCATGTATATAAGATCAAGTTAAGAAACATTTTATAGTAATTAACTACCTCATACATTTTCACCCTTCGCTTCATCAGGATGTGACTGAAATGTGAAAGTGTACTAGCTAGCAAGTTGTGAAAAACTTTTCTGAACTCAACCTTAGCTCACATGTTTTTTCAAAAGACTGAGCACTTTCTTATCTTTTAACATTTTTCATGAAAAGCATCATCAATTTATACCTGCTGATATTATATATATATATATATATATATATATATATATATATATATATATATAATTATTTATTTAAAATATGATTCCAACTCATAACATAAGAGGTCTCATGTTTCAAAAACAAGAGCAAAACTTCAATATAATTATTTGAATTATATATATATATATATATATATATATATATATGACGTCATATGTTAAGAAATGGACAAGGTCCGACAATTTATTTATTAAAGACATTTTTATTTATGTTTAACGTTGTTATTTTATAGATACAAGTATTTAAGCAAATGCTCTGTTTAATATAAACAGTATTAAATATTTTCGGCCTGAATGAAAGAAATTTTCATAAAATATTCGGGTTCTGACAGGATTCATGTTATTATACTGTGCATTCTTCATGATCCTTTGCTTAAATACTTGTATCTATAAAATAACAAATTCTAAATAAAATGTCTTTAATAAATATATATATATATATATATATATATATATATATATATTCAATATCTTATCACCTTAAATGTTATTTATAGTGAATACCCATATACAAGCCGGTGGAAAAAAATTTAGATACTGTTTAAAAATCCACTAAAAATAACATTTAACCTTTAGCACTCTGTAGGTGACTATTTTTATCAAGCAAAATGTTAGTCCTGCTGCGTTCAATTTCAATTTATTGGTTTTGCAGTCATATCCTTCTATGGCAACATCTAAAAAATAATCTGGACTCCAACTAAGAGCCAGGCTACTACAATTTCAAATATATAGAATTTATACATAAAATACTATATTTTGAGGGGATTCCATATACAGTAAAAATAGAAGATTTATTTAAAGATGATGTAGAGTGCTAAATGTTAAAGTTATATATATATATATATATATATATATATATATATATATATATATATATATATATATTAAGCATTTACCCCCAAGTAAGGCAGGAGAGCCACGAGCATGCAGGGGGGTTACAGAGAGTGAAAGTGAGGGAAAGACTGCATATAAAGGGAATTGAGGAAAGGATAAAAGAAGAGCGGGGATCAAGGTCACAGAAGATGGCAATTGATGTTGCTTTTAAATTGTTGAAGATTGTAGTTATCAGGGAAGCAAGAAAGAGGAAGGGAGTTATGCTGTCAGGAAACACAAGAAGAGAAACTACTGGATTAGAAGTGGTGGTTGCATTTAACTATTTCAACAGTAAAAGTAGCACACTTAAATTCATACTGTTGAGGAAGCAGAACAGTTACCATGAAAATATTTGTAGAAAAGACAGAGGGAAGCCACATCATATCTATGAGAGAGTGACTGAAGTCAAAATGTCAAGTCATGGTGTGTGTGTGTGTGTATGTTGCTCCAGATAATTGAAAATAATAATAATATAAAAAAAACAAAGATTTTCAATAGAAAAAGTTAGTAAATGTTTTTAAAGAATTTATATGAATGTTAAACTTAGAAAAAAAAAAAAGAAGCTATTTCACAAATTTCCATCATCTTGGAGAACATCCTCAAAAGAGCCTTGAAAACAATGCTTGTTAACCACCACATCCAAAATGGCAGCTTCCAATCACTGCTTGGAATTGTGGGGTTGATTGTTGGCAAAGATGCCTTAAATGTAGCCATTCAAATCAAAAGGGCTAGGAGGTTCCATGTTGGTGGTGATATGATCATGGACATTCTCGGTCAGTCACTCCCCAATAGAACATGTTCAGCCTGCCCTAAACCCCCTCTTCCACTCTGATCCAAGGAGTGAACACGATCTCCAGCAAATTGATTTAGTGATATACATCACCTTGATCTTGATTTGGTATGTACCATTTTGTGTATCATTGCAGCATCTGCATGCAACCACCTATTCAAAGAAGAACCAGAACATACCAAACTTCTTGGAGTACCTGAGCATCTCAGGAATTGTATGATATACTTTTGTGCCACTGTCTGAGAGTGAACTCCACCACCTTGAGATGCTCAGCAATGACTCGTCAACATGTTGGGGTTATGACTGATGATGTCCTAGGCTGCTTGACTGATTCATTCATTTTCTACAGTTTATCAACCTTTTTCAGGTTATTTAAAGCTAGAAAATATTTTTAGATTGTAATAATCTTTTTTTGAAGATAATGATGGTTTAATGATAAAAGTTTTACTAATTAACTCAGAGCTGGGGAGAGAATAGGCTGATCCATACCTTTCCCAAGGCTATTTGTGCAAAGTGTATATAAAGAAGCCAATAGGAATTGGAAATTACCAATTCTGAGCCATTATCCATTACACCACCCACACATCCAAGTTTAAAGCACCTGGTATTTGCAAGCAGTTACCTATCTAGATGCTTAACTTCTCTGATTGTACAGGATCCTTGCTTGCCTTTAATTAGACTTAAAAATGAGATTAAAGTGTAGTATCTGTCTGTTCTTCTCTTTTCTGCCTTATTTCAAAGAAAATTAATGAGTAAAGCCTAACCACCGGGATTCAAAATCTTCAGCAGCACCTTCCTCACAGCATTCAAAAGGGCGAGATGGTGCATACCAACACCAGCATAGTAGTGGCCATGGTAACTGGGCAATTTTTGTCATGTTAAATAAACTGTGTATCATATCTTGCCATTATAGGAAGTTAGATATATACTGACCTGCTGGACAGACTCAACCATATTAACAACAACTGATCATCTATATAGCTACAGATGACACATATCCACCAAAGGTCTCTACCTCTTACTCCTGGTCACTTTCAAGCAGCCACCTAACTCCAAGACACTATGGTTGGCAACTAGTACCATTAGCATGGTATGTCTCATATTGTATCAGATTGAAAGTCACCATGTTAATGCTCACACTACAATTGAAAACGTAACAAGAATGTTCAATTTTAGTACATAGGTCATCTTTCATTTATTGATCCTCTTCTTCTATGTGCTGTGTTTCTTCAGGATGTCAGTATCATAGCTCTCCACAACTTCCTATCCTTTGTAGCTCTTAGCGATATTTGTCTTTTTATTATCTCTCCCCGTTCTGTCATCCATTTGCACAAGGTGGATTAATCGCATCTTTTCTCATTAACCTCTTTCCTTAATATATCCTGTGAATGTCCAATTTTCTTGGCCTTCTTTCTCCAGAAATTTCAGCTAACACTTCCTGATTTTATAATTGTTGTTTTTGTTTCCATTTCCCTTAAAAATTCCTTGTTGTTCACATGCTCTGTCCATGATATTCTCATTTCATCTGTCTATAAAAGGACGTCTCTCTTTTCTCAAGTTTTCTCTTCATCTGTTAGGAAATTTTCCAGCACTGATTACCATAGAGGAGAATAATGTGTATTCTCAGAAATCTTTGTGTAGTTTATGTAGTAGATATGTAGTGGATGAATATGTGACAAAAATTTAAGAAGTAAGAAAAAGAAAACTGAAAACAATAAATGTTTAATGGATAAATATCCATCCTAATGGTAAAAGAAAATGAAAAAAAAAAATGTATGTGTGTGTATAGGGATGGGGTTACCCCCGACCCACTCCGAAGGACTTGGAAAGACAAAAAAGCAACAAAAGAAATTAAATAAAAGAAAGTGGATGATTATAATGAAGTGAGTAAACAAGGCAAATAATATGGAAATGTGGCGGGAATGATGCAGGCAGGAGTTTTGGTAAAAAAAAAGTGAAACGGGGTAGAGGCAAGAAAATGGCTGCCCATGTCAGAGGGCAGTAATGAGAATTGTCAGATCTGTTGGACATGTTTAATAGTTTTTGTTAAAGAGGGCAGCAAACGGCAACCGGGGTTAGATTAAGGTTTATGCACAGGAAAAGAATGCTAAATAAGGGAAGAGACAGGAGGGAAAATATAAAACTAGAGACTGGATGAGAGAGAGAGAGAGAGAGAGAGAGAGTGTGTGTGTGTGTGTGTGTGTGTGTGTGTGTGTAATGTTGAAGGAAAGAGAAAGAAAGATTCTGAGTACAGTAGAAGCGATTAGAAGCTCCATCCAAACCCAGAGAAAAATGTCGTTGATCAATAAAAGAAGAGAGATAATTAGTTGGAGAAAGAAAGGAAGAAGAGAAGAAAAGTGAAAAGAAAAGGAGGAAAAAACATTAAAAAAGACAAGATGAAAAAGGATTAAAAAAATATAAAAAAGAAAAGAAGTGAAGAAAAGGAAAAGAGAGTAATGGAGAAAAAGAGAGAAAAAAGAATAACAGAGAAAAACTCTGTAGCTGAGAAAAAAGAGAAAAGGAAGAATTTCTGTTAAAGAAACTTAGTAGTTTAGTAAATGGAGAAAGTAGAAGATTCTAATTGAAGCAAGAAAATTAATCTAGAGAAAATAAAGACAAGAAAATATTTAAAGATGCAAACTAAAGAGATGATAGCAGATAGCAAGAGAAATACGGTTTTCCAACACTTAGACATCAATGTGGGTCACGTAGTATGAATGATTCTTATCTTTTAAATGGCAATTTTCTTTTTATGGAGAAGACAAAAGATATTTTTGCTCAAATCCATCCATAGGGAAAAAATGTAATAAAACAGAGAACAAGAAAAAAATAGTTGGCATCACTCAAAGAGATTTGTAGAAAGATGTCCTTTCACAGATATGATACTCACTTTTTAGGCAGAACTTATTTAATGTAAGTCAAAGACGACACTTTACTGGAAGTAGTTATTACAAATATCAAGCTGACAACAAGGGGAAAAATGCATTTGACTGTTCTGAAATGAGTTTTCACCCTCTGGGTGAATCAATAATTGTTGTATGAAAATAAACATAAATTTTACAAGGATATGAGTGACTACAAAAAAAAACATTTACAAAGGCTAAAAATCAATACTCCTCTCTAAGTGATGTTAATAATTGCATCCAGGGGCTGATACAGATTTTACAAGCATTATGTTAACTGATGGGAATTGGGGAAATATCACATTTGTCTTGGTTTTTCATCTTCAAGGTGATAACAAATATTACAGATATATCCAATTTATTGCTAAAAATGCTGGAAGAATGGTTGGTCCATTGTACTATTCTAGTAAGTATCTGACACCCCCTGCAATACTCTTTGCAAGAGCAAGATCAGACCAAAAATGGAATATTGTTGACATATATGAGCTAGAGCTGTCAAGTTCTCACTTGCCTGTCTTGATAAAGTTCAAAAGTGTCTACACAGCCTTGTGGGTGATGAATTATTTTCTATCTTTAGAAAAAAAAATGTCCCAATATTCTCAATACTCCTCAATCCCTATTTTCATGGCAAGTGTTCTGATGAGTTACATTCCATGGTTCCAGCAGCCCTGACCTTTACAACTGGAACCCACCCTGCCACATACACAAGAATGAATCATCCCTATCTCCTACGTATTCTATTAGTAAGAAGGAAGTTCCACTCAAATAGCTTCTTCCCAAGAACTGCTGCTTTGTGGAACAGGCTTTTGTTAATATGTTTCCCAATCTTAACCTCTTCAAGTCTAGGATTAATTGTTATCTTTCTTGAATAGCCTCATAAACTGTACTTCTTGCCTCTTCTTACACACATGCAACATTGCACAATAACCTGCTACATTGAGTGGCTCTTGGGCATTTTATTGGGTGAACATTAGTATAAAAATAATGAACTTTGTTGAAAATAACTATTTTTTTTTGTTATTTTGGGGCTTCTTTATTGGTGTTTTTTTTTTTTTTTTTAAATTTGACAGATCTTTCAATTTTATTTATTAAATCTTTTCAAATTTTAATTAAGCAGTTAGCAGAGAGAGAACTGATTACAGTTTTTCAATGATCAAAGTGAATGTTTGAAAACAAACATCACCAGGCTGGCTAACCTCACACTTTTTAAACCTGCAGTCTTATGCTCTGTCCTGTGAGGTACACCCACAAATGCTTTTTATCAAAAGTAGCAAGTGAGAGAAAAACTTGTCAAAGAATGTGAGATTTAGGACAGGAAAATGGCAGTTTTCGTTGTACAATTTGTCATTGTTAACTTTGTTGCATCCAGAGTGCAGCAGAATAATGGTTCCTGCTAAAAAGAAAGGAGATTAATGTATGCAGTAGAACTGGAATTGGATTGTCAGTGTGCACTCGACCCAGAGTGATGCAAGAATTGCAGGAGAGGAGGGTGGCTGTTTTCAAATTCAGTATGACATGCCAGCTTGGTTAATGTGTACTTCGGTAGGCAGAAGCATTCAGTATTTTCAGCAATAATATATATTTTTGCATTCAAGTGATAAACAATCACAAAGCTAAACATTCAATTACTAAAATGAAAGAAGCAAGCCTTATTGATTCACAGTTTTCAAAGTAAAAGATATAATTTTTATTTCCAGGCAAAGCATAAGTGCACAAAGATGTACAGGTAATATAAGGGTTATTGATGCAGAAAGAAGAATTGATAAACTGAGTACTGGTTCTGGCCACCTCTGTTGCATTCACTTTGCACTAATAACCTTGGAAAAGGTTTGAATCTATTTCTATTTTCCATTTTCTGCACTGATAATTGTCATGATATCTGCACATAAGTGTACACTTATACTTTAGTTGGAAATAAAAATTATGTTCTTAGCTTTAGGTGACAGACAGTCTAGGACAGTGGTTTTCAAATAGTGCACCTGGGCACACTGGTGTGCCCTGGAAGATATCTAGGTGCACCCTGGCATTCCAGAGAAATATGTGTCAAGATATAAGAAATAAATATATTTATTTTATTATATTGCGGTACCTGTCTTGTTCATATTTATATGAATTAGGCTTTTCTACTCTCACCACAATTAAGTGACGAGGAAATGAGAGATTGTATAACAAATATACACCCAAACATTGAAGAAATCACTAAGACTTATCAGGATCATGTTTCTCATAAACACAAGAATGAATAAACTTAAAGTATGTTTCTGTTTATATTTTTTTATTGCATTATTTCATTTCTGCAATAATTTGACTTCATTATAACATATTTTTTCCAAAATTTGTATATAGTATGCTTACAGTTATTGGTAGGATTTCAAGTGTGCCCTGACTTCAAAAAGTTTAAGAACCACTGGTCTATGAGAAGAACCATTCCAGATTCAAAACTGTGGAGAAGGCAGTGGGGAACTACTCCACTATTTTTCCTAAGAAAACATGGCAAGATAAAGAAAATAAATCTTTGGTGCTTAATGATCACCTAAGCTCTGAAGTGATATGGCATTAAAAAAAATAGGGAGATTCATATATATATATATATATATATATATATATATATAATAAAAAAGGCTTAAACACTAATATTCCATGAGTGTTTAAGCCTTTTTTATATCTACTCTGTCCTAGACATTGAGTTCTACCTGGATCCTTCCTCTTGAAAAAATTTTTTCTGAAAATATACATGTATGGGAATTTTTTAGATATATTTTTCATATGTATGTATATTTTCCACTAATATTATATATATATATATATATATATATATATATATATATATATATATATGGAATGTGCTTGCCGAGTGACTATTATCAAGTACAGAAAGCAGAACTGTTAAGTAGGGTTCTAGTACTCGACTACTCTTTTTGTTATTCACTCAGCACTAATGTTTTTGGAAATGGCATGAATCCACCTCTTCTCCCCCTACATATGGATTAAGTATCTCAGTAGATTGGTATCTCTAGTCAGTTCAGGAGAAGGACAAATCTAGATTCAAAAATATGGAGAAGACAATGGGAAACCATCCACCATTTTTCCCAAGAAGAAATCTAGAAATTAATGATCACCTCTGTCCTGAATGAACCTGGCACTAAAAATTTTTTACATTTTTGGGGATGTGCATGTCGGCTGATGTTATTGGTGCAGAAAGTGGAATTTTTAAGCAGGGTTCAAGTTCTATCCTACTCTGTCCCTCATGTATATGGAAAAGGCATGAATCCATCTCATCTTCCCCAGCATGTTAAATAGCAAGGTACACCAGGCTCTCTTTGCTTGGGAGGAAGCCAGTTTAAGAGTACAACTCCAGAGTCAAAACCATGGAGAAGGAAACAGAAAATCACTCTATCTTTCCCAAGTAATCATGACAATAAAAAAAAGAAACCATGATTACTTAAATCCTGAAGAAACATGCTATTTAAGAAAAAAAAAGAAGAAAAACCTAAGTTGCATATAATATTTTTTTAAACTCTAGCAGGATATAAAACCTAATTTCCATACAAAGTAAATTAAATACCCTTGTCAATGCTAAATTATATGCTGTTTATTAAAATCTATTATTCTTTAAAATCACTGCAATATTTTTAGACATCCTGAGATAAATTACTGTTAATATTCTAAAAAAAATATTAAGACTGATATCCTCACCTTTTTTTTTTGCTTGAGTAACAATGTTTAGAAAAGTGCACTTTTCAACCTTCCTCATGTGCATGTTACACTACATAATGTGCAAGACACTGAATGCAGAACCACATGACCACACACTGTGGCTTTTTAAGTATGGGATTGAGCTGCATGTCATAGTCATATAAACAAACACGTCAGAGAAAAAAGGAGCAGTCTCTCAAACATCGCAGATGGGAATGTAAGGTCCATGTTTTGGATGATGTAACTGGAGCTGCTCAAAGTTGAATAAGTAACACAACTTCATTACACTAATATTTCTGGATATTGTATAATATGAAATAATAGACAAATTAAATAGGTAAATTAATAAATATATAAGTTATGGGTGGAATAAAAACTATTTTAAATAACAAGTAATCATTTTTCAAATAATGTTTTTCCTTATAAATGTATTTAATATAGCAGTGTATTTTAATCACAAATATCAAACATTATACAGTGAAAATTTCATATTAAAATCCAGTTCATTACTATGTATCAGGCTACAGATTTATTGATGTAACATAGAAATATTCTGGAGATGAGCAACACTAATACACTTTCTGTAAAATGAAATAGAACAAATTTCATTTAAAGGAATTAATATTACCCTATACATAAAATGGATGCTGAAAAAGTTCTCAACCAGCCTCACTTAAAATCTGAGCAAATGACCAAACACTGGAATTTCTTAGAAGGTCTTTTCTTGGTTGAATTAGGAATTTTTTTGCATCTCGCACGTGCATGCTTTCATGAAGGGGCTATTATCTTATCACATGAATTTTCCTACTTTTAAGCTCTCAATGTCACTCTCAATGTCTTTTTTCCTTCCCATAATTCCTCTGTCAGATTTTACCTTTCTTCTTTCTCTTCTCCTTTCCTTCACTTAGTTTATTAACTACTTTTTCATTTACATATTTTTAGGTGAATAGTTCAACATATGCCAGTTCACCAATAATGGTGAAAAAAAAAAAAAAAACTTATTTTGAGCAACAAATATTTCCAATATAATCCCCTTCCTTGTCAATGCACTTCATCCAGTATTCCTCCATTGATCTCATAGAAGAAACATTATACAGTGAAAATTTCAGATCAAAATTCAGTTAATAACTGTATTGTTAATTATTTTCATTCTAAGCTTCCTTCTCTGTCATCATCCTTTGCAAATTCTCCTTATAGCAAAACCAAAACCAATGTTTTCTGCTCAAAAAATATAAAGTTACAAATCAATATAATCTGGGAAATCCTTTATAAAACAATACTGTGTATTTTAATAGATTGCCCCTTAACAAAAGAATACACTTCTCATGATTCTAAACATTTTCTTTCTATTTTCATCAATCAACTTCTTGATATCTGTATTACTGATAGGTAAAATGAATAAAAAGACTATATGAAATAATTTTAAGTACTGAGGCAAGAATAACAATCACATAGAAATATTCTTGAGATGATCAACATCAATAGACTTTGTGTAAAATGAAATAGAACAAATTTCGATTAAAGGAATTAATATTACCTTATTTTTTTTTTAAATTGTTATCACTCCTTGCAAGGCAGTAAAGTCACTAAGACACAAGGGACTACAAGGTGTGGAAGAATTAAGAACAGAAACATTAATAATCAGCTTGGAAGAGGAAAAAGTAACCAAACACAGTAGATAGCGATTGACATTGCATTTAAATTTTTGTAGATTAAAGTTGACTGGAAAGCACAGAGCCAAAAGAGAGTTCCACATGTGAGAAATATGACAAAAGTTGTTAGCATAGATTTTATGGTTACGTCTAGTCAGCTCAATGTAAATTGATGAGATCTCAATGTAAGTCTAGTACTGCGCTTAAATTCAAAAAGTCTAGGTACCATAGCAAAGAGCCCATCTGAACAATTACCATGAAAGTATTTACAGAAAAGAAACAGAGAGGCAACCTTACCGCGGTGGGAAAGTGAATGAAACTGAGCCACCAGATCAGGACCAATAATATTGCTGAATCTTTTTTGGATGATTTTCAAGTAGCTCAAAGTAAATAGCAAGGGCACCAGACCATATGTGGCAGCAATATTCTAAGCATGGGCAATTGGTAGACATATAGATATGTAAGACAGATTATGGAAAGAAAAATTTATAAATTTATTGTTGCTTTGGATGCAAAATTTTCTTAAATTTTAATTTTGATACAATAAAGGAAATTTTAGATAATTTGATTTCTATATTTTGGAATAAACTCTTAACTTTTTAATTGGGAGGTGGGTTATGATTTGAAGATACTGGTGCTGACAGTGTCGTGAAATTATTCCAGATCATTATGCGATTAATTTCTATAGGACATCAAAACATTTTCAGAACATCTTTCTTTTGAAACTATTTTCAAGGACTTCTTTTTCATAATTCTTTAAATTTTCATTTCGTCAGCTTTATTATTTTCCCTTGTTGCCTTCTTTTGCTTTCCAAGTCTATTCATATTTTTCCCCAAAAACTTTACAGTTTATTTCTTTCTTATTATGCTATATATGTTTCGTCAACCCATTTTTATTTTCTTCAAAATCAATTTTTTGTTTTTTTTCTCATTTCGTACTTTCCTCTAGATTTCCTTTCCATCTTCCTGTCAATGAAAGGCAGAAAGCATATAAAAAAAAAAATATATTTTGAGGAATGAAAAGTTGCTAATATTTGTATTTCAAACTTGATAATTTAGAAATTCTTCCCCATTGTGTCACCTTTAATTACCAGCATCCAAAATAAGGGGCTTATCAGCCCCAAGTGGAAAGCACAAGATGTTTGTTTTATTTTGAATTCTTTTTTTTTAATCCCCCCCCCCACAACTACCACCTGGAATTGTCGGTGAACGAAAGGAAAATACAAAGAAATAAAGAGAATAAAAGTTAAGAAGATGTATTGAAAGGCAAATGGAGATTTAAGACGATGAGGGAAATGATGATGATGATCAGATGACAAAATCAATAAAGAAAAGGATGACAATGATGATGATGAATATTGCAATACTAAATGACAGTGATTAACTCAACTTCAAGCCTCTATTTCAACCCACCAATGGAAAAGGATAAACAAAAACAGATAATATGATAATGAAGATAAAAATGTGAACATTAATATCATTAACAGCCAAATAAAAATAATGATAAAAATAAAATTTAAATTAAAGTAATAAAGATAAGAAAAAAAGGGGGGACAACAATATTGATAAGAAATAACATTATTCATAATCTGTACAAAACAACAGTGTAAACAGCTGTTCAGTTTGTCAAAATGGATGTATTGAGAAATAATAATAATAATAATAATAATAATAACAATAAACTTGATAAAAAAATACAGAAAACTTGTTTGAACATAGGTAAATTTTGAAAAACTTTTAAAGAATTAATAAAAAAAGATCTGATGCAAAATAATTATAAAAAAACAAAAAACAAATCTGTTTATCACAAAATCTAATCTTTGAATTATAGCTTTATTAATCATAGAAAGTGTCCCCAAAACGACTTCAGTATATAAAAATATTATAACATGTCAGATTTATCATGCTTTTAATTTCAATTTTATTTCAGAACTTATATTAACAGGAAAATTACACCTGAAAAAATAAACAAAATCATGGAATTTTATTTTAGATTTAATCAATCAATCTAATCCATCTATCTATATATAAAATTCTGTGACTTCTGTTAGTTCATCCATCTGTCCATCATACCCTTTATTATAGCCATACATTGACTGATTAAAACAAATTTTTGGGAGAAGTGCAAACAGGTAAGCAGGTACAAAGTACAGTTAGTTTTACTTGGGTGCATAGCTTAGTACAGTAAATTTTCATTAATCTTTTGGAAGAATTCAGTTTTATTATTTAACATACAAAATACTCTCACTATTTTAAAAACAATTTAATAATTAAAATAACAAATACTTATTTTTAAAAAATGCAATATTGTTTTTTTACCTATTTTCTTTAAGATTTTATATACAAGAATCCAGTTTGCCCTGCGTTTGTGAGAACTATAAACAAATTTGGCCCAGAAAGAAATATTTACGCATAGCAAGTTGTAAGTTGCATGCTCAAGAGTAAGAAATCCTAAGAATTTATTCTTTGCTGTTAAAAAGAAAAAAGGAAAAAAAGAAATTTTCTTAAAAAAATATTGTTTACCATGAAGTCCTATACAATTAAATTAAAGAAATTATTAAAACACGAAGTAGGGTTTTTATCAAAGCCTTTTTTCTTATTCAAATTTCATCAATTGGTTTATGAAATTGTGGGAAACGTAGAGTTTGTAAATCTTGACAAAAATATTATTGATAACTTCAACAATACTAAATACTGTTAAAATTTCAACACACATCAGTTACAAAATTTTATAGTCACCACCTTCCACCTTCTCCTGACCTAACAACTCCTAGTTATTTTTTTGGTGGAGGGGGGACACCTTAAGGGGTGTTTACAGATTGCAGACAGTTCAGCAAAAAAAAGGCTGGCATCTGTGCAGAAATTTCAGTGATGCAGCTAGAGATATTAACCACTGCCATGAAGAATGTTATTGAAAAGCGCGGAGGCATATTATGTGGTATATTTTTTCAGAATTAAATAGAAATGTTTCCAATGTTTGCATTTTCATTCTGTATAAAACTATTTTTAAAGAATTAAAAAAATGATGATATTGCTCAATTTTTAAAATCCCTACGTGACTTCCGGGACATGTTGCATAACAATAAATGTGATGTCTAAATGCTGTTCGATCATGAAACAACGAGTGATTACTTTTCAAAGACAGGCCTTTCTAAAATGGCCTTGAAAGACAGAAGAATCAAATAGTTGTAGGTTTTTACCAAAATATTTTCTGTTTGCATGATAATGAACTCTATCACTTGGCAGTGAACAATAAGCAAGATGTTTGAATGATGGCATCATTCCAGATGATCATATGTATAAATTAAACTATCATTATTATAAGTAGCAGTCCTAGGAGTGACAGTAACAACAATACGATGGCAAGTCCAACATTCTAATAAACAGTGAAATTTGAATGATGTCAAGAAAACAAAAACTATGAAAATGATTAAGTTAAATTTGAGAGGAGGAGGAGAATAATAATAATAATAATAATAATAATAATAATAATAATAATAATAATATCATCATCATCATCATTTCTCTAACTTTTGGGGGGTGGGGAGAGCAATTTCATCATAGCAATAACTTTAATTATAAGGAAGTGCAAAAAGGTACATATGGAAATTTAGTGACAGAGAATGCAGAAAGAAAGATTACAATAAAGAGATATACAGAGCGGTGAAAGATATGAGGAGGGAGAAAAGAGAAATATACAACAAGAGGTTGAGAGAGAGAGAGAGAGAGAGAGAGAATGGCAATGCAAAATTTTGATGGAGGCAGAGAGAAGAGTTATTTGCAACACTGCAATAAGAAATCAAATGAAAAGAGAGAAAAGATTAGCACAAATAGTGAGTGAAAGAGAAAGAAAAAAGAAACAAAAGGAGAGGAAAAAAATGAAGCTCTACAAAAAGATAGGCAGAAACAAAGAAGGGTTTGTTTAAAATCAATAGCAATTTGAGAAAATTTAGAACTTTAAAGTCCAAATCTATTGGCACTTTTTTTTTTTTTTAAGGTGGGTGGGGGCTATGTCTGTAAAGAATACAAATAATGACAGACTGCTGCCAATGGTTGTTTTTCTAAATGCATTACCATTTCCTGAGATTTTGAGAAATTTCAAACTAAAGAAAAGCAAAAAAAGGTTCTTTCTGGGGTAGGGTTGAGAGAAGGAAAAGAGAAGGGAAAAAAATGTATGGAAGGAGAGGCTAATGACAGGAGATGAAAAAAGAAAAACTAGATGGGATCAGAGTAGAAGGGATTAGAGGTGGATAGTAGGGGAGGGGGTGGTAGTATCAGATCGAGGAGAAACAAAAGCAAATTTAAGAAAATGTCTTGGCTATGTTGATTGGCTGGATACATGCTGACAGCAACATGGAGACACAAATCAACTGCAAATGAGATGGACCATGAAAGCAAAAAGGGCACAAAAAAGGGGGGGTAAAGAAATATGAATTGATGTGGAGAATTTACAAAAGGATGAGAAGAAACAATTCAAATGAAAACTAAGAATGTTTCAAATGTCTTTTAAAACTTTGAGATTGAAACAAGATTAGGAATAAATCTACAAGGCTGGATCATTAGGTGAGCTGAATTCTGATCTGAAATTTTTACTGTATTATGTTCAAGTCAGAGAGTGATTTGTTTTTTTATGGCTTATCAAACTTTTGCAGATTATTCAAAGCAAGAAAAATGTTTTTTTAGATTTAAAAAAAATTTTTTTTGAGAAAATAATGATTTACCCATACAAGTCCTACTAATTAACCCATAGCTGGGGGAGAAGAGATGGATTCATATCTTAGGCAAGGGTATTGATGTAAATGAATATAATAAACCCAACTTCAATTCCAAGCTGTTATACATTGCACCACCTGCAAATCCAAGCTTATAGCACTTACTATTCCCAAGTGGTCACATATCTAGGTCCTGTCCAGGTTTGACATTTTCTTAACTTCGGTGACTGTACAGGAACCAGTATTTTGGCGGTATAATGTTTAATCTACGTGATTGGTATTCATCACTGAATTAAGTGCCTTGACAAGGAAGAAGATTAGTTTTAAAAATAATTATCTGTGGTCTAGAATCTGTTTTTTTTTTCACCATTAGACTGTGGAATTATTGATGTACCTACATATATCTGGGTAAATATTTAGTAGTTGAAAGAATGATAGACATAGAGAACTAGAAAGATAAAAAGTTAGATGCACATACACAAAGATAACGCTCATATAAATATGCACAGACTTGTATGGGTGCATTTTTCTTTTTCAATCTATATAGCTTTTATCTTTGTAGCTCGAAGGGTAAGTGCTAATCAACCTCACCTGTCTAAGACATTTCTTTCTTATTGAGTAACGGACTGGTTAGTTATCTTGAATATAATCTCTCTTTTGCAGTTGTCCTGCTTTGCTCATAGAAACCAAAATGGAAGAATAATTCTTCTGGTACACAATATTCTGTTTTGTTTTAGTCACTTTGACAAACACTCGGCTCTTTCGTTCATTGTCTGGACAAATTACATGATAGAATCCGAGAGAATAAGTTATTTGAGCAAACAAAGTGAAAGTCGTTAAGGTTGGTGTTTGGAATTTAGGCAAATATTTGCAATAAAAAAGCCAACAAAAAATATGATACTTGATTAGAAATAATAATTTTTTTTCCCCTCTTCTCCAGAGATCTTTCGTAATACACAAATAAATATAAACTCATGCTGTGATTAATCTTTTACATAAAAAAAGTTATTTTTTAATCATTTCACCCCAGGGGAGACAATAAAGACACTATGATGCAAGGGGTTACTGAGTGTGAAAGAATATGAGAAAAAAAAAAACATTATTAAGAGAGCACATTAAAAGAACAGGAATTAAGAAGACAAAAAATAACAACTGATATTGTATTTAGTTTTTTGAATTTCAAAATTGACTGGAGAGCAAGAAGCTGGAAGAGATTTCCACTAGTGAGAAGTGTGAGAGAAGAAACTGTTAGCATAGAACTTACAGTTACATCTACCCATTTCAACTGTAAAATGATGAGACCTCACCACCAATCTAGTAGTAAACTTACATTCATAACCTCTAAGTACCAAAGAGGAAAGCTCATTAGAACAATTACCATGAAAACATTTATAGAAAAACTTGGGGGAAAACTATGTTACAGTAATGGGAAAGTATCTGAAGCTGAGATGCCAGGTCAGGACCAATAACATTACAGTTTCTTCTTTGCATTTTATCAAAAATCTCTAAATTACATGGCAGAAGCACCAGATCAAATGTGGCAGCAATATTCAATGCTGGTAGATTTAAATGAACAGAAATGTAACAAAGTAAATTTGTTACTAATAAAATTAGTTCATTGGTAAAAGATTTTACCTTTCTTCAATTTCGACTACAATTAAAAGAAAAAAAAAAAACTCTGCTGACAGAATAAAGATTGTATAGAGAAGAATTCTTAGGTTTCAAAGAGGGTTTGCTAATTTTTCTGCAAAAAGTAGAACAAAGATCTTGTAGAAGACCTTGTTTTTTTATGTGCTCAGTGATTTGTCATCTATATGATCACTGAAGTTAAGCAACATCAAGTCTGATCAGTACCTATATGGGTGACTGCCTGGGAATACCAAGGGTTATAAGCTTGGATGTGCAGGTTGTGTAATGTATCCATGGCTCTGAATTGTTAATCAGTGAGCCAAGTTACAATTCCTATTGGGTTCATTATAGTCAACTTACATGGAAATATTTTCGGTAAAAGTATTCATCCACCTCTTCTTCCCTCTCTGCCATATATGGATTAATTAATAGGACTTGTATCACTAAATACCTAAAAAAAATCTTAAAATCTAAAAATATTTTCTGGCTTTAAATAACCTGCAAAAGGGTCGATAAGCTATAGAAAAGAAATCAACCAACCAACATGTTATCTATGCTCAAGTCATTTCTCTAATCAACATATTTACTTCCCAGAAATATGATAACAATTTCTTTTTTTTTCAATTTAATCAAGTCTACCCAACAATAATTTAATTGGATTAACTAATTAGTTAATTTCTTTACCAGAAAAGCACTAATTAAGTAATATCATGAGCTCATTATTTTTGCTCTGTTTACTTTTTAGAAAAAAAATGTCTATTTAGTAGATTATTTTAGAATAACATCAATGGGTCGTTTTTCAAACTGACTCATTCTTTGTTTTATAATGAATATAATTTCTTGAACAAAATGAGTAAATTAATCAGAATATTTTTTATCCAAGTTAGCATGACCAATCTATTTAACTACACTAGAAACACAAACAAAGAACTATGACCACATCACACGAAGACTACCAACAGCAGCAACAACTAAAATGAATAGCACATGTAACTTGAAGAGGAAATAATGACATAATCAAAATGTTGACACACTACGTTTTGATGCAAGATCATGAAATCTATAGGCTGCAAGAAGCTTACTTCAAATTCAGTTTTTATTATCTAGGATTGAAAACAGTTCTCTAGTTTGCAAATCTGAGTTGTTAACCATGATTTTTCTTGGGATTGATAGTTGAGTGGTTTTCCCGTTACCTTCTCCATATTGGATTATGGAGACACCACCTGTAGTTAGCTGGCTGTTGATTCAGTGAGTTCCTCTACCCTTTGTTGATTCAGTGAGTTCCTCTACCCTTTGTTGATTCAGTGAGTTCCTCTACCCTTTGTTGATTCAGTGAGTTCCTCTACCCTTTGTTAGGTGTTGTTTTTCATCCCACTTGCTTGTTAACAAGCTGTCTCACTTGGAACTCGGAGTGTGGTAGTCAGTTTAGTCGCTGACATTTCGACTGAAATACTTACCAAAAGGTGGTGGAAGCTAAAGTTTCTGGGATACATAATGAGAAAGGAGGGTCCTGGAGAATCTGATACTCACAGGTCAAATAGAAGGAAAGAGAGACAAGGGAAAACGACGCGTGACATACCTGGCGGACTTAAGCAAATGGATGACAGAACGTGGTCTGAGGGAGGAAACAAAAGGGAAGAACTTGAGAGAGAGCTGCAAGGGATAGAGAAAGGTGGAGAGCCATGATCACCTACTTCCTGAAAGGACATAGCAAATAAAAAGAAAAAAAGAAGTATGCAAATCAAAGATTACCAATTTAAGGTAGAGGATTTGAGCAACAGCTTCCAACAAACTGTGATGGTGAAGGATTCATTCCTTTCCCAAGGGTATTTGTTCATAAGCAAATGTAACAAATTTGACTGGAATTTGAACTCAGCTATCTGATCTCTCATTACACCACCTGCACATCCATTCACCTTCTGAAGGTGTGGTTGGCAAACCAAGTTCAAATTTCATCCAAACATGATGTCTTCACTTTGTATTCATGCCCTTAAGAAATAGTAGTATAGATTGACCTCACTAGCCTTGTTTGACAGGTAATTTAAACTATATATATATATATATATATATATATATATATAGTTTAAATCACACAGGTTCACATACCACCTCAATGACACTGGCGCCATAAAAAATCATCTTGTAACAATACACAGCACCACTAGTAACCCATCTGACAAAAGAAAAATTTTAATTTTAAAAACCAAACTTCTTTATAAAAACAACTGCAAAAAAATGACTACAAAATCTGGAAGCAATCTTCATCAATAATCAAAAACCCAACATAAATAAAATAGCATTTAACACTGGCAGAAACATACTAAACATATTTAATAACTAATCCTCCATTAAAAAACATCAATCCCCTCCTTACCAATAATGAACTAACCCAATAATATTGTCTAATATTATCTATAAAACTAAAACAACCAATAACATGTCTCCAAAAAAAAAAAAAATGCCATGATGATGGTTGAGGACAACCAAAAGCGCTTGGTAGAAAACTATGGACTAGGATCCTACTTTAACAACCTGAACCCAAACATTAAGAAACTTTCGAGGAAGCAAGAAAAACTGAAAAAGATCATCAAGTGGAAAAGTTCCATAGTTTTTAATAACACATATCAATATATATATATATATATATATATATATATATATATATATATATATATATATATATATATATATATATATATATATATATATATATATATATATATATATATATATATAAATAAAATTGCTCTATCTTTTTCATGATAAATATTTTATTTTTTTTTTGTGATAAGTATTTTATTTTTTAAATATTTTATTTTTGCAACATGATAACAGAAGAAAATTGACGACATATTTTTCTTAGAAATTCTCACAAATCTTTTAGAAAATAAAGTATAAGATTTCACTAATAAAAAATGTGCACTGAGAAAAAAAAACAGAACATCTTTTAACATAGTCAACCATTATGGCCTTGATGCAAAAGAACAGAGCATAGCAAAGAGAGAAAATTCAGCAGGTGGCCGTACCTGACAATCAACAATACTTCATTTAAATATATTCCCTTGAAGAACATCTGAATACTTCTTTCAACAATTTATATATGTAGATAGATAGATAGATAGATAGATAGATAGATAGATAGATAGATATAGATAGATAGATAATAAGAATAATAGAATAGATAGATAGATAGATAGATAGATAGATAGATGAATAAGAATAGCCGAGATAGATAGATAGATAGATAGATAGATAGATAAGAATAGATAGATAGATAAGATAGATAGATGAATAGATAGAGATAGATAGATAGATAGATAGATAATGAATAAGAATAGATAGATAGATAGATAGATAGATAGATAGATAAGAATAGCCGGAGATAGATAGATAGATAGATAGATAGATAGATAGATAGATAGAATGAATAGATAGATAGATAGATGATAGATAGAATAGCCGGAGATAGATAGATAGATAGATAGATAACCGGAGATAGATAGATAGATAGATAAGAATAGATAGATAGATAGATAAGATAGAGATAGATAGATAGATAGATAGATAGATAGATAGATAAGAATAGCCGGAGATAGATAGATAGATAGATAGATGGATAGATAGATAGATAGATAGATAAGAATAGATAGATAGATAGATAGATAGATAGATAGATAGATAGATAGATAGATGGAGATAGATGGATAGATAATAGATAGATAGATAGATAGATAGATAGATAGATAGATAGATAGATAGATAGATAATAGATGGATAGATAGATAAGAATAATGAATAGATGGATAGATAGATAGATAGATAGATATAAGAATAGCCGGAGATAGATAGATAGATAGATAGATAGATAGATAGATAGATAGATAGATAGATAGATATACACATACAGTAACAGTCATAGCTAGAGAGACTAGCTAGTTCATAGTTATTCACATTCATTATATGCAACACACATTTAAACTATACAAATATTTTTAATAAAGTGCAGCCTATATATATATATATATATATATATATATATGCCAGCAGTAGCTAAAAGACAAAAGTTTTAAGCAAAGTTGTTTAAATAATGTCATAGAGAACGTCATGTTGAGGATATATGCGTGTGCACAAATATGACACGAATGATTGCGAGTTTTGAAATAAGAAAGAGGAAAGAATAAAATGAGAAAAAACGAAAATGGAAAAGACTTGAAGAGGAAAAAAAAAAAGAACAACTCCAAGATGAACACTGAAGACAATTGTCAGAGGGGAAAGATTGCATATTTTTGTGAAGGTCAAACTTCTGATGTATGAAGCCGAGCTTGTGTCAAGGATATTGCAAGACGCAAACATCTACTTCCATACATACATTCAAAGAGATGACGTGCTGGATTGTACACAGAGCTGGGAAAGATAACAAACGGAGTTAATGTTTTCTTGGGGAGCCAGCAAAGTAAAGTTTTATTTGTTATACAGTGACAATGACAAGAACAAGTAAACAAGATCAGAATCGTATGACTTGATATATTGATTCGAACAGAGCCAGAGAGCAAAGTTATCATCATCATCATTATATATTTCTTTTCTGGAAGCAGTTTTCCGAACCCATGCTAGGTTTTAACCTTGGCATGATGCACATTTCTGCCTGTGGGTGGGTGTTCTTATTTTATTCATTATGAATCTTTATGTGTAACAGATCATTTTCAGCACTAGCAAAACAGGAAGACTGAAAAAGAAACCTTTTCTCTGCCAATACAAACTATGTAAACTGTGGTCAATTTAAGCCTATGCAGTGGATACAGATGTAGAAATACAGTGCATTAACACATACGCAAGGTAATAAAGTCATTCTGAACTGTGATGCAGTATAAATCCACTCATATGATAGTGAATGCTGGATAATTTTGTCACAGACAACAAAGACATGAATCTAAAGAAGGATACTGAGAATACGATAGACAGAATATGCGAGCAACAAGGAAGTTTCAAGATAGAAATAAAAAAAACAAACACTTACACTAAGAATCAGAAAAAGACTTTTGAAATTTTGGGGACACAAAATGAAGAAAGAAGGCTTGGAAAATTTAACACTCACAGGACAGGGTGAAGGCTAGAGCAGAAGAAAGAAACATCAAGTAACCTACCTAACAAGCTTGTGGAAATGGATGGTAGAAAAGAGAGATGATAGACACAAAAGATTGGAAGATGTGGAGAGTCATGATTAGCAACATACTGAAGAGACATGTCAGATAAAAGCAGCAGAAGAAAATACATCATTGTTATCCTTTACTAACCAATGAACACAATATTTTCTTGATGATTTTTCTCTCCAGAATCTATCTTATATATCGATGTCTACCATTTGCTGATGCTTAGACTATTGTTGCCACATATGGTCCAGAGCACCCACTATTTATCTAGAGCTCCTTGATAAAATCCAAAGAAGAATCAGCAATATTATTGGCCTGGATCTGGTGTCTTGGTGTCAGTCACTTTCCCATCATTGTAAAGTTGTCTCCCTGAGCCTTTTCTATAAATACTTTCATGGTAATTGTTTGAATGAACTCTTCGCTATTGTGTCTATATTTTTTTTAATTTAAGCAAAGTACTAGAATAGTGACAAGGTCGCATCAATTTACAGATAAGTTGGCTGGATGTAATTGTAAGTTCTATGCTAACAGTTTCTTTTCCTGGACTTTTCACTTATAGAATTCCCTTCTGGCTCTATGTTTTCCAGCCAACATTAATATGCAAAAATTTAAATGCAATATCAATCGCTCTCTACTGTCTTGATTAACTCTTCTATTGTTCTCACTCCTTAGCAATGTTTCTGTTTTCTAATTCCTCCACACCCAGTAACTCATTGTGTCTTAGTGGCTTTATTCCCTTGCTAGGGTGAACTTTATTTAAAAAAGAAATATAACTGTTTATTTAATGAATACTTTTAGTATCATAACAATTTCTCTTCATTTGTCAAATAAATTTATTAATGATACAATTCTACATATTTTAGTGAAGCTGCAGTACTGTGTCAATATTTCTATACTTTGCAAGATGAAACAAGCAAAATTAAGACATCTTTGATAGACAATAAGTTTATCTTAAAATCTTTAAAATATTCTAAGTGAAAAAAGGCTAACGTGGGCTAAAACTGCCCAGTCCTCACTTCCCTGTCTTGATAAGTGTTGAAAAACATCTATGTAGCCTTATGGGTGATGCATTATTTTTCACCCTACAATGCCTTTCCCCACAGATGAAACAACACAAGTCTATTGTTACACAATCGCTATTCCTATGGCAATTGTTCTGTCATCCTTGGTCCCATTAGTGCTGACCTTTGCATTTAGGACTTGCCATGCCACATACACAAGGATGAATCATCGTCATTCTCTTTGTATCCCATCAGTAAAAAGGAAGTTCCACTCTGACAACATCTTTCCAAGACCTGCTTATTTGCGGAACAGGTTCCCGCAGAATGTTTGCCCATTCATTACACTCTTAACCTTTTCAAGTCTAGGGTACACTGTTATCTTTCTTTCATAACCTCATGAACTGCACTTCTTGCCTTTTCTTATGCTCACACAACACCACACAGTAACCCTCTACCTTGATTGGCTCTATGGCCTTGTATTGGGTGAACACTAGTACAAGAAAAGGTAGGGAAACAAATCTGTATTTGTCTATATTTCTGAGATGAGGTATTGTAAATATTTATACTATTTACATTGTTTGAACTGTTGTCCTTATCTTTATTGTCATATTCAGGACATTTCGGCCATTGTATGCTCCAGCCTTCTTCAGGTGAATCATGTTGGAAATTCAAACTTAACCCTTTACACATGGCCCAGTGGATAAAAACATTGGTTGAAGTAATCCAGTGACTTGATCCAAAGAGTTGAGAGTTCAATACCTGGATGCAGCAGAGGTGAACAAAAACTTGGAGACTTGAGATACTAAAGAGAAATAACTGAAACTGAGATATCCAGAAAAAAAAGCATGGCATGCGGAACTAGAACAATCTACCCCAGTGGACGAAATAAAGGGTTCAGGTAGAAATTCCAATATATATATCACCTGAAGGCCGGAGCATAACAACAGCTGAAACATTGTGAATATGACAATAAAGATGAGGACATCAATGTAAATAGTGTAATTAAATCTGTATTTAACGGAAAAAAGAGTTAACAAGTTATGGTAATTTATTTAATTTAGACATGAAAATAATTGAGAATACAGAGCTTCTAATGATTTATCATCTTTGCTTCATCTGTCATTGTTAGTGTCAGAGATAATGATGATATGCTTCATTTAAGTATATATATAGAGAGAGGATAGATTGATTTGTTTTTTATGGCTTATCAACCCTTTGCAGGTTATTTAAAGCCAGAAAATATTTTTAGATTGTAAGAATTGGGGAGGGGGCGTTAATAATAGTTTAGTGATACAAGTCTTACTAATTAACCCATAGCTGAGGGGAGAAGAGGTGGATTCATACCTTTACCAAGGCATCTGCCTGTAAGTGAATATAACGAACCCAATTGGAATTGTTTGCCAATTAACAATTCTGAGCAATTTATCCATTACACAACCTGAACATCCTAGCACTCAGAACCTCGTAATCCCAAGTGGTCACCCATGTAAGTATTGACCAGGCTCAATGTTGTTTAACTTTGGTGATCATATGAGAACCAGTGTTTCAACGTAATGTAGCTGTAAACCCAGAGAGGATAGTAAAAGATGGTTTAATTTATGGAGAGACAAATAAAAGATATTTAAGGCTAAGCAACTTGAGGTCATCCAGCAAAAGCCTGTTTATGTATTCACCATCAGAGTTACTTGTTTATCAGCTTAAATATTTTTGTCAGTTGTTTTCCAAACTTCCGAACTAATCTAGATAGAACTTTATTGAACTTCTTTCCCATCTAAGCAAACATTTATGTACTTTCTTGGCAACTACTCAGCACAAGAAAGAAAAACAATTGAGATAGATGCTTTGTTTGTTAAGGTACAGAATAGGATTTCAAGTTTTAATTATTAAGGTGGAATGAGATAAATGGTTGTCTTTTTTCATTGCACTAAAGCAAGATTTTGGGGTTTTTTTTCTATTCTGTTTATGCAATCATACAGATACAATTTTAAAGACCTGCATCTACTCTCTTTGGGTATTATTTAAATCTTTTAATTATTTTTAGTTTTCTTTTATAAGCTTCCAAATAAACACAATTTTTGTGTCATTATGCTTCATTAGTTTAAACTCGACAATTAAATTGCCAAAGCTGCCCATAATATTAACAGTATTTGAAAGCGAGAGTCAGTTTCAGAAAGGACTGCGTATCATTGGTTCCAAAAATTCACTTCTGGTGATTTGGATTTCCAAGCTGGACCTAAATGTGGTCAGAAGTCATCACTCAAAAATAGAGAATTGAGGGCAGCTGTAGAGATTTATCCAGAAACAAACATTCAGGCCCTGGTTGGAAACCTGCGGGTGGTCCATACAACAATAGGAAGACATCTGCTAAGATTAGCAAAGTGAAGAAAAGGCAGAAGTGGGCATAACATGATTTGTCTGATGACCAGCAGCTTGAATAGTTTGTTATTTGCTGAACTTCACAGAATTACTTAGGATTGATAAACTTGTTCTCTGATGAAACTTCCGAAAATTAAATCTTCACTCTGAAAACATCCGCTTGTTTGATAGTGTTCAGTTGGAATAATTCATTACAGCCACTTGCAACCACGTCTGGCCATGAATACAAAAGGATATCACTAGTATTTAGAATTGATGCATCAAAAGTTGCAAACATTTTGGCGAGAAGTGTGTGAACATAGACTTAACCAACTGCAGGATAATGCAAGAATTTATGCTTCAAAAACCATTTTGGCAAAAAAAAAAAAAAACAATGCCCTCCCTATTTACTGGACTTATCTCCTATTGATTAACAAATTTTCCACATCTTAGATGCTTATATACGTCGACAGGTGTACATGAATGTAAACCAGGTCAAAGACACTTTCTAACAGTTTTTCAACTCTAATAACTTCAGTTTTTATCATGATGGAAATAAATTAATTGCCAACAATCTGGCAGCGTCATGTTGATTCTAATAAAGTTGTGTTTATCTGTGTTGTGACATTATAAACTTTACAGCTCAAGATGGTCATTTATTTTGTTCCAAGTTGCGAGAAATTATCAATTATGGTTGTAGATCTTTGGCCACACGTTGGCAATTTGACAGATTATTGCTGTGTAAATAGTCAACAAACCTCTGGACATTTTAACTTAATTAAGAGACTTTCTTCAAGACTTACCAAATTTGGCATGGTCACTGGCCTTGGCAATAAATGACTGTCACTAGATGGGCTGAGCAGGTATAAACTGAAATTTGGGAAAACAATAACAAAAGGATAAGTAATAATCACATGATGCAATATCAGTCAAATATATTTCATACATTCAGGCTTTTTTTATTGTAGAGAAATATTAAGTACTAATGAAAATATGGGCTCAAGAAAAACGTTAAAATTTTAACTGTTTCTCTTTTCAAGCTTAAATAATTAATCTGCTTGATGAGAGTTAAGACAACATACATCATCAACATTTCTGTACACTTTTTATATCTTTTTTGTATGCATTTAGTGAGGCTTCACTTCTTGCCTTTTCTTATGCTAATATCGCACCACACAGAAATCTTCTACCATGAGAGGCTCTTGGGCCTTGTATTGATCAAACATTGGTGTAAGAAAATACAAAAATAAAATTAGCAGATACTGACTTCAAGGGATTCAAACAAGAGATGTGCTTTTCTTAACTAGGGTAATTAAATTCTGCTTCACTCTAACTGAGCATTTTAAAGCATGCCAGGCTTTGCAGTAGTTTTGTATCCATCTAGTGAAACTAATATAAAGTCCTAAAAATGAAAAAACTGTTTGTTGGTGCTGCAATAAAGGAGTTGCACAGAATGAAATTCAATTTTATTCATTAAGACTATGTACACTGATAAAATTATTATTACCAAATTATTACACATGGCTGAATCATATTCATTCACTTAATATTCCAATAGTAAGAAGCAGATTTCACTCAGGGAAATTCTTCCCAAGAATGGTTGCTTTGTGAAACAGACTCCCAAATGAATGTTTTCCAGATCACTAATACTGACCTCTTCAAGATTAGTGTTAACCATTATTTTTTGTATATAACCCTATGAATTTCTCTTCTTGTCTTTTCTTATGCTCATACAACACCACACAGTAACCATCTACCTTAAGTGGCTCTTGGGCCTTGTATTGGGAAACACTGATGTAAAAAAATACAAAAATAAAATCAGCAGATACTGATTTCAAGGGATTCAAACAAAAGATATGCTTTTCTTAACTAGGATAATTAAATTTTGCTTGACTCTGAGCAGTATTTGAAGTAGTTTTGTATTTATCTAGTGAAACTAATATAAAGTCCTAAAAATGAAAACAAATGTTTGGTGGTGCTGCAATAAAGGGTACAATACACATGGCGAGGCTCTCAGAATAAAGTTCAATTTTATTCATTAAGACTATTTCCTAATCACATATAAAACTAGTATTACTAAATTAGTACACAAAGATGAATCATACTCATTCTCTTTTGTATTTGATTAGTAAAAACTACGTTCCATGCAGGCAGCTTCTTCATAAGAGCTGCTGCTTTGTGGAACAAACTCCATTGCATTTAAATTTTTAAAGATCAAAGCTGACAGGGAAGCAAGGAGCCAGTGTTCCACAATTGAGAAGTGCAATAGAAGAAACTGTTAACATAGAAGTTATGGTTCTAAAGTGGTGATGAGAGAAGGCTAATCTTCGGTCTGTCTTATCTTAGCTAGCCATGATTACTGACCCAAACATACCACAGAATTGCTTACAGCAAAACAGCACATTCTTACTTAGCATTCTTACTGCAGTCACCATAATACCTCAAAGTCTCTATGAAGTCCGAACCAGCTTCCATATGCACAATTCATCTGTTAGGAGTGAGGAATAATAGAGGAGAGTTCATCAGAACTATCACCATGAAAGTACTTATAGAAAAGACACAAGTAAACTACATTATGGTGATGGGAATATGATTGAAGCCAAGGCACCAGGTCAGGAGCAATAACATTGTAGATTCTTCCATGGATTTTATCAAGAAATTTTAAAATATATAGCAGGAGCACCAGACCATATGTCGCAGCAATATTCAAAACAAGGACAAATGGTCTTTGTTTAATTTATCAAATACAGAAGAGAATCTATTGATGGTTCTTTGTTTAGCAGAGAAAAATCAATGGACAATCCCTGAATTCACCTTTAACATCAATCATGTCATCTTCTTGATACCAGTAATTGCCACTAGCAGCCATTTTTATTATAGGATGATTCTGGAGTCTTGAGCCTTGAGACTAGTTTTGACTCAATGACTCAACTTTCAACTCAAAGTGAGGGCTGATAAACATATTAATATTAATTTACACCATTTACATGCAGATTATTGTCTTCAACTTTGTTGTTGTTATCACATTTCAGCCATTGTGTCCTCAGGTCTTTATCAGATATATGCCGATCCGGGTAAACTTCAGGGAATTCTGAACGGAATCCTTTTTGTAATCTATGGCTTTAAACTGTTCTCGTTCTACTGTCCATATATAAGGATATCTCAATCAGATCTTGTTTTTAATAATGATGGAAGGCACAATGGATAAAATGTTGTGAAAACAACAATAAAGATGAGGAAAACAGTCTGCAAGTAAATAGTGTAAATAACAATAATTCCTCAGACAGAAATTTTAATAACTTTTAATAATGTATTGTAATCCTCACAGTAGTTAGTATTTTTGAAGTTATCGCTAACATTTTTGTTGTGATTTATAAACTCTACATTTTGTTCAGTTTTGCAAAACAATCTGAATATGCTTTGTTTGCAAAAATATTATGACAAAAACCCTACTTTGCAGTTTAATAATTTCTTTAATTTAATTTTATAGGATGTCATGGTAAACAATATTTTTTAAGAAAATTTCTTTTTTTCCTCTTTAACAAAGAAGGATAAATTCTTAGGATTTCTTACTCTTGAGTATGCAACATACAATTGACCATATGTAAATATTTCTTCCTGGAACCAAATTCCAACTTTTTTGAAGCATTTTGGCTTGTTATTTGTTTATAGTTCTCACAAATGCAGGGCAAACTGGAAAATGGATTCTTGTATATAGCAACTTAAAGAAAAGATATGCAAAATACAATATTGCATTTTTTAAAAATAAGTATTTGTCATTTTAATTATTAAGTTGTTTTTAAAATAGTGAGAATATTTTGTATGTTCGATAATAAAATTTTTAATTTTTCCAAAAGATTAATGAAAATTTATTGTACTAAGTTGTGTACATGAGTAAAATTAACTGTACTTTGTACTCCCTTACTGGTTTAAACTCCCCCCCAAATTTCGGTTTAATTGGTCAATGTATAGCTATTTTAGAGGGTGTGACAAAACAGACAGACTAATGGAAGTCACAGGATTTTATATATAGATGTTAACTTTGTTACTGGGTAATTCCCCAAGTGCAGATGATAGATCTACAGTAAACTAACAGCAAAGGCTGTAGTTTACAATTTGTAATTTTCTTACAAGAGTGGATTTTGAAACAAGTTTTATTTTCAGATGCAACAACATGAGCCTGTTAAACCTACTAACTTTAATTATACTATTACAACTTACATAGACTTTAATCAAATTCTCAGCAGTAGGTAATCGTCTGTTTCTAAACTCTGCCAATAACTATCAGTTTCTCTGTCTCCAGCTATGTATAGTGACATATTGGTTATAACAAATTTAGTATAAGAGATAAAGAAATTGAAAAAAGAATAGGCTGTACTAGAAGTAGTTTCACCCAATACTGTGAGCTGCTACAAACCAAGACATTAAATTAAACTCTTGAATAAGGTTCTTAGTCTTGTCAGATTGTGACTCTCATATGGATGCCATGAATTGCACCAAATTCACTCAGAAATATCTAAACTGTCAGCTGTATAAAACCACTTTCTCAGATCAATGATTAAAAATGGCTTTGAGTGAAGGAAGCCTGTAGATCTCAGTTCAAATTTCTGAGAGTGTTATCATGTACAACAAGAGATAGCTGAAGAAAGCCAAATAGTGCAATAGTTGAAACATTGTGAGTATAGTAAAACAACCTGGTTAGAATAGCAAGGCATATAATAAATCACTTATATTATGGATAAAATTAAAATGTTAAATATAACCATTCTTCAGAGAAACTACCTAGTCGGATGTATCTATAGAAACTACAATACCATATAGATATATACTAGTGGAAATACCAGGCATTGCTCAGAAGAAATAACTTCCTCTTAGGTTACATTGCTATGTTGAAATACAATAACATGCTGATTCCTTGTCTTGATAATCAATCTGATGCCATTACAAAGACTCAGGGGTCTAGATTTCTCAAGAATATGACTGGAGGTCTTCCTTTTTCCAAATGAGACTGTGAAATGTCATATCAGATGGTTGGAGGGAATTATGTACAAATCTTTTTTTTTTTTTTAAACAAAAAATAATTATAGGTTGGACATTCCACTCTTTATTAAAGTAAATATATTGTTTATGTATTTTATCAAATAAACACCAGTAATTATTTTTCTTTAAATCAGAAAATAATTACTTCATTTGAATTAATTTATTTGGTTTAATATTGCCTATTAAAAAGGTATTTTATGCTTGAATTGTTTTTAGTAAGTAATGTAAAAAAGTAAAGGCTGAGATTGATTTTATGAAAAAATATTGTTAATTCAAATATATATATATATATATATATATATATATATATATATATATATATATATAAAAAATTGTAAACCGTCATTCATGTCATGTCTGTAATAGAAAAAATTATATATGATATAAAAGCATAAAAACTTTTGGAAAATTTAAATTTAATAAGAGTTTTATTAATAATAAAAAAAAATAATTCTACAAACAGAATACTTTTGAAAGCATGAATAATTTTTAGAAAATTATATAAAATTAAATATTTTAGTAAAATTTTTATGATCCCCACCCCAGCATGTTTAAAAAGATTGTGTATATTTAGAATAATTTATTTGTTTTTTTCATTCATTTTTAAAATTTAATATCTAAACTTTTAAAAAATTTAATTTCAATAAAATGGTAAAAGAGAGTTAAAAATTACCCAATTAAAAATATTGAAAAAGATGACTTATATGTTTATGGAATATCTGACTGTAATAAAGCTACTGAAAATTATCCACACAAATTATATATGGGAATTTATTCTGTTGTGTTTTTACAATTTTTGTTTCAAATATTTGAATAAATAAATATCAACT